CTCCCTTCCGGCACACATAGCATTTGTTTTCCATTTGTTCCAAAAAATTCCACCACAGAGATAAACCATCCCTTTCTGTTTCTTTTCAATTCTGTTACATATTTCTTACCTAGAACTGACATGGAGTTTTTCCAGCCATTCACCTTACCAGAGTTGATAGCCCCATCTATGAAACCTTTCATCCAGACAATGACCTCCTTTGATACCAACAGTCGCCCTGTTATTCTCTCTGATTTTCATTGCATCCTCACCGTTGATCCTTTCCTCTTCGAACTTGAAAGTCTTGGCTTCGATCGACACCTCAGACCTCCATCTTCCTACTACTCTGAACATTTTCTCGTCCTCCATATGTTTTCTAGACACAGGTCCATTACAAGATTCTAGGAAAGAAAAGTTGAATGAATACCATACCTTTTTCTTTTTTCTTCAGCACTGTTAACTTGTTCAGGATCAGATCAAAGGAAGCTCAAAAGAATGAGCTTTCTGGGGTTAATTATCTTTCTTGACAAAGAAAATTCTCATTATGATGAAGAGGATGATAATCTACTGCAGAATTCATGGGCTTTGATATTACTGCATATGATAAAACTGCTCCATTTAGCAACAGTTTGTTTTATCTATCACTGGCTAGTACTATATAGTATATTCTAAAAGCTTAGATGCAACTTGTGGAAACCCAAGGTCAAACTTATGAAGATCAAGCCAGCAGCCTTCTGGAAATGGAGTTTCTGAGTATGTTCTGGTTTTCATTCTTCTTCTTTATTTTTTTCCTCCTTACTTAATTGTTTAGTTTCTCTGTTAAATTTGAACCCAAGTGATTTTCATTCTAAATTTCAACTATGTTTTGTAAGCACAACCAAACTGGCAGTCAGATCAGAAGCTCTGCCATTTTGAACTCACTGGAAACGATTGTTTCAGCAGGTCACTGCCGCTGGTTATGTGTGTGTGTGTGAGAGAGAGACAGAGAGAGAGAGAGAGAAACCTTGTTCCTAGTAACTGGTTAGGTGTCGAGAGGTAGAAGATGAACAGTTTTCATCACCCCTCTCATCGGAGGGAAACCCTGTTCCCGATAATTGTTTTCATCACCGCTCTCGATCGTCACCCTAATGTTTTCATCACCACCCCTGCTCCTATCTGCAACTCATTGCAGTAGTAGATTTGGATCTAGCAGACCCAAAATCCCTTCTCGGAACGTCACCGCCACTCCTTCCACCTCTCGGATCCAATACAAGAAAGGTTCTTTTTAACAGTTGGTCAGACGTTGCAGTGGTGACTGTTAGCACTAGGTAATAGAGTGCTCAGACAACGACGGGTTCCCTTTCATGCGAATATTGGCAATACTTAACGGAAGGGCAGAAAGAACATTTCAACATAATAGTTATGATTTAATGATGGTGACAATTGTCAGAAACAGTAGGCATGTTCCAAGACTATTTTTAAACAGTAAGGGTAGAATTTGTTAATTAGCTAAATAGTAGGGGTAGTTTAAGAAATTTTCCCTTGTAAATATATAATATAGTATAAAATGTTCATTGTCTGTAGTTTAATAGTTATTTTTCTAATCTTCTAGGTTCAAGTCCTGTAAATCATGTTTTATAAAAAATACATACACGTATGTGTGTGTGTGTGTGCATATATATATATAGTCAACATAGGCATTAAAGTAAAATAAGAGGTTACAAGTTCATTCCCAATCATTTTAATATATGATGCAATGATCCAAGCAGGTAGTTGAAAACTAGTAAGATTACTAAAACCTTGGTAGTTTTCAATGGTTTGCCCAGGTTAATAGCAGGTCAGATAGTTCATCTAGTCTAGTCCATGTCTTACAAAAATCAGCATGGAGAATTGAAAGGACTGGTTGTGTCACATATTTTGGCCTGGTCTTTTATGATTTTTGGAGTACAGATTTTCTGCCCAAGGAAAGGGTGTAGAATATTGCTTGAAAATCTGGAAAACTTGAGAAGCTTTTTTTTTCAACTATCATCCTTAGACCTATTTTACTGCGGGTGCTTAGTTTTTTTTTTAATTGATATCATCAAGTTATAGTGGACGAGTTCAATTGGAGTGTGATCTAAGGCTTCATAGAGAGATCAAGTGATAAATCTCTCAATTTCTCAGACTTCGGTTACATGCTTCTACCTTGTACTAATGACTTTGTATTGGTGATCTACTTTTTCTAGGTTAGGCCATTTTTGCCTAGATTTAGTGTGTGGCTGCAACTGAAAGACTTTTTACAGCTTTTAGAGAGATCAATTGGAAGAATATTATCTATTTAGAGAATGATGGAAGCTACTAGAAGTGATTACAAGTTTAGTGTAGAACCAGGGATCGCTTTAGGTTCAGTCTGCATGTATGGAAATTAGCAGAAGAGGCGAATTAGAATATCTAGCAGGTGCTACAAAGAAGCCAAATTCTATGGATACTTTTCATCAATGTTTTCAAAACTAGACTGGACTGGATGGTCGGACCGGAAAAACCGGGAACTGGTCACATGACTGGTTCCATTTAACCCCAAAACACCTTTTTGGCCAAAAACCGTTGATTTGGTCAGCGAACCGTTGACCTGGGTGGTTGAATTGTCGAACCGTTCAACCCGGGAATGGTTTTTGGTCGTTTTTTGTGTTTTTAATTATTTTTATTTTTTTATTTGAGCGGGTTGTCTGTTTGGACCAGGTGGTCGGGCCATTCGACCTGGGAATCGGACCCCAAAACGGTTCCCTGTCCGATCCGGTTTTAAAAACCTTGCTTTTCATCCTCGATGGGTTCAAGAGAACTCCATGGTGATTTTACCTAGTTGTATAGTTCAATGTTTCTACATATTAGTAGAAACTATTAATGGATGAAGACTGCAAATGGTAATCTTAGAGGTATTAGTTTAGAATTCTAGAAGCATTAGTTTAGTATCTGGTGTTAGTTTCACTATCTTATTTTTCTAAAATGGGAGCATTAAGTATGTTTACACATCCATATATATCATCATAACATGAAGAATTACACTAATAAATAAAAGAGGAGAAGATACTACAGCCTTTGATCCATACAACAAAAAAAAGGAGAAAATCAGCTAAAAAAATCCAAATGGAAATCCTAGAAGCTGCACAAAATGATAGATATCGTCATCATCATATCATCCAACTTTTATCCCAACTATATGGGCTCGGCTACATGAATCCTGTTTCACCATTCCATTTTGTTTAATGTCATATCCAATGTTAAAATTATTAGCACTTAAATCATTTCTTACTATTTCAAACCTTGCCCATTTTGGTCTACCTTTACCCTTTCTAGCCCTTTCAACATGCAACAAATCACTTCTTATGGGTTCTATCAAAGGTCTTCTATGCATGTAACCAAACCATCTTAGTCTACTTTCTCTCATTTATCACCTATTGGAGCTACTCCTATGTTCATTCAAATGACTTCATTTTTTACCCTAAAGTCATCCAAAGGAACAAAGGAGTAGCTCCAAAGGTGATAAAATGAGATAAAGTAAATTAAGATGGTTTGTAGGGATACAACTTGGGCAGGCATGGGTTGAAGAAACAGCTCTTACCATTTGAATCTCTCTCGGGAGGTAGCACTCTCTCATTGTTGTACCCCTTAGAGGGGCAGTATCTAGAACTTGCTTCTTAAATGAAAACAATCATTTGAAGATATGAGTTCTGCTCTTCAAAGATTCTAGCTTTCCAGCATATTATCACAATACGCCTAATTGGTATGTAAAAGATAGATCCTTTTTGTCCTCTTACCCCCTTTCCTTATTCTGTTTAACTAATCTTTTTTGTTTACGAAACCATCAAATAATATAGCAAAATCTCAACATCACTATCAAACCCCAAATTTCTTTTTCTAAACCTCTCAAGTTATGCTAAAAAGTTGAAGAATCTATAATCAGTTTGAATTATCTAATATGATGCCATAATAATCTATCGTAGAAGAAAAAAATAAGGAAATTCTGGATTTGCTTGAAGAAAATCTTAAAAATCACAGTGAAAGTAAATTTTTTTAACCCCTAAAGCGCAGTTTGGAAAGTGTACAAATACAAATATGTACAGTGCAAATACATAGAAAATAATACAAAATACAAGGTTTTGTACTCTACAAATTTGTATTTGTACTCCTTCCAAACATTGGAAAGAGCGCAAATACAAATATGTACAGTGCAAAGACTTGTATTTTGTATTTCTAATTCTTAACCTGTATTTGTATTTGTACTCTTCCAAAACTGAGCCTAAAGGGAAATGTTAGTCCTTCTATGGTCTTGGGAGGGGTGGAGTGGATGCACATCTAAACATTTTCTTCCACAAAGCATCTGATCCCATGCTCTGATGCTTGTCAGCCCCAGAACCATTTAATTAAGAAATAGTCTCTTTAAAACCCTGAAATCATTTGTTAAACACCCTAAAATCAAATTAAAGAGCCCAATAGTTTTATCACGAACCTGAGCTCATTTCTGCCTTAACGTCACTTTCTTAGTGGTTGTTCCATCATGTTGTTCTTCTGTAAGGTGTCGCATCATTTATGACTCATAGTTAAATTAATATTTTGTAAAATGTTAATTTCTCATAGAATTTTTATGTTTGTTTAAACCTGTTGTAAAAGCAGGACCCCACTATTTAATCTACTTGATGGTTTTCCTTCTGTTCTTTTCACTAGTTTCATTATTATGGACCAAGGGAAATTCAAGCAGACTGGAATCTCTTGGGAGTGATTGGACCCTTTACCCCAGTTCTGAGTTCATGATAGCTTTTATATCAGCTGTAGTGAAAGAGTTGAATGAAATAAGTTAATTTATCTTTCATATCTTGTGCAATGTAAAGCTAAAATTTCTAATATATCATCACCTTTTTCCAGTGGTCAGACAAGCTTCAAAAACTTGACTTTCAAGAGATGGTGATGTTTTTGCAACACCTTCCTACTCAAAACTGGACCTATCAAGAGCTTGAAATGGTGCTGTCAAGAGCATACATGTGGCATTCTATGTTCAACAGCTCACCCAACCATCTAGCCAGTTAAGAGAGTATTATTCTGTTACTTAATGATCCCTTTTTTTTTTCTTTTTTGTATTCTCTGTTTCTATTCGAAGGAAACTAAATGCTTTTATTTGTATTCTTGTTTGTATTTTCAACTATTTGTTAAACAACCAAAATCCATTAATGTAAGAGCTTTGAGAGGGAAGTGCCTTTTATTTTATGTCATCTGTTTTGCATATGGATTGAAATTCCTTGTAACATTTAAAATTTAATTTGATGTTAATGATTAAAAAATCTCATTTAGCTCGATGTTAGGCTTCAATCAGACTGAACAGCTGGACCTTTGATACCTAGAACTGAGCAACAAAATGGTTCTTGGGAATTGGGATGCCTAGCAATGTTCAAAGTATTGAAAATGCAAGGTGTATTGGAATGGCATTTCCAAAGGACATTGGAATATGCTTTGTATATGCATATATGGATACAATGGAAAAATTAAGATACACATGGTGACCCTATGGAACCTCAAATAAATCCCAAAAATACATAAGTAACCTTGAACCATTAAAATCACATACTTTAAGGCTATGTTTGGTTTGAAGGAAAAGGTAGGGAAACGCATACAAGGTTTGTAAAGGTTTTCCTACCTTTGCTTTCCTTTTCCTACTTTTTCCTTCAAACCAAACACAGCCTTGATGGTTTCCATGAAGAAATGTATCATAATCTATGGAAATAAACAAAAATTATCTAATACAACTTGACAAATTGTTCATTAAACTCTATAAAGCTATAAGCAATTAAGCATATAACTTGACAAACTGTTCATTAAACTCCTATCTCAAGTTTTCAACGCCATATCTCCAAATTACTAGAAATTCAATACATGGAATACTAAAAAGATGAATAATGAATTAAAGATTTTTTAACCTGGAACTTTACTTTCGGTGGAGAGGCAGCCATGGTAAATTTATTAATAATATGAAAAAAAAGGCCTAGGTGGGGGAGATGTAAATACCTTACCTATCAGAAATTCTATACAAGAGAAATCTCAGCTCAAATAAAACAATTATGGGTCTGAGATTTCTAATACAAAACAGAAGAGAGGACCAGCTAATCTGCAGGAAAGGTATACCCAAGCCATCCTGCACAACTGCTTTGCTAACCAGTGTTTTCAGAGACTTATAGGTGGTCGAACTGTTTGAACCTTTACTTGGCGTCAATTCCAGTTCGGGTTTACCTCAAACCGGGATAATGTCCAAAAACTGTTAACTTGGTTAAAAGACTATTGACCCAGGGGATTGAACCATTGACCCACTTGGCCCGGTCAGAATGGGACACATGTTGCAAATTACAATCTGTGTAAAACTTCTGCAGCCATAACTTTGCATTCGATGATCCTATTGGATTTCTCTTTTTTTTTTTTAATTTGGGTAACTTTTTATGATCTATGCGTTGCAAAGGGTCGAAGGTGCCTTGGCTTACTATTTTTTGCCAAATAATACTTTTTGGCCTCAAATCTTAATTTTTAGTATTAAAAAATAAAACTAAAATAAGAATATATTAAGGCAAATCTATACTACTTAAAAGCAAATGCCCCTTCTGTCTAGAATTTTCATTGGGTGTTCTCTATCTTTCTTGTTCAAACATACAATGGGCATAAAGAGGGCATATATGTCCTTTATTCTCATTTTAGAAATTGTCCACTTATAATTGTCCAAAAACTGTCCAATTATAATTGTTTTGTCTTAGAGATATTGTCACGTGCAAATGCAGGTACATGTTTACTAGTATAATTATATATCCTGAATATACATGCATGAATTGGACCTAAACTTTTGGGTTAGGCCAGTGGCCAGATGGGCCCATGCCAGCACAGCCTGCACTGTTGTGTCGTGCCATGCCAACCCATGGGCCTGGAAACTCAAACTCGGCACAACCCATACTATCGTGTTGTGCCCAATACAGTTCGTGTGCTGTAATGTAGGTCATGCTGAGCAACAGGTGGCATGGCCCGCTTTACAGCTCTAGCCATGCTGCAAGCCTGTGCCAGCACAGCTCGCGTTGTCATGTCATGCCATGCTGGCCCATGGGCCTGAAAACCCAAGCCTGGCATGGCCCATATCTCTGTGTTGTGCCCGGCACAGCCCGTGTGCTGTCGTGCCAGGCTGCAGGTGGCACGACTAGATTTACATTTCTAACTGGACCTGAGTTGACCTTCACTTGCATCCTACTGAGTTGAATCAAGAATCTTAAATCCAAATATATGTTGCTTACCATAATAATCCAAATATATGTTTATTCATAATATCTATCTATCTATCTATAAGAAACATCATTTAACAAAGATATGAGAAAATTATGCTATAAACATAGGATGCTAGCTAGGTTTGGTGATCACACACACGCATTGCTTCCTGCAGTTAATTCAGATGATGGGGCAATTACCAAAATACTCTACTAAACTTTCTCTATGTTTTTTCTTGCCTATCTTCTCTTAAAACCTAACTGACCCAAAAGTACCTCCATTGTTTCTCACCAAGAGATACTTCTGTCATCTCACAAGTGGTCGTCGCTGTTAAAGGAAAATATCTCTGATAAGTTAATTAAAAAAATGGACATTCACATGCTGACTCTAGGGAAACTTGATACCTTGATTACATAAACCCCTCTAATCTGATACACTCACCTTTTGACCCTGAAGTTGTTCTTCAAAGGCTGAGTTTGGAAAGAGTACAAATGCAAATATGTAGAGTGCAAAACCTTATATTTTGTATTATTTTGTATGTATTTATGCTGTACATATTTGCATTTGTACTACTTCCAAACTGAGCCTTAGTCACAAGTTATATTCTGAAATCTGCAACAAACCTAAAGAAGGACAAAAATAGATAATCCTATTTGGTTTCAAGACAATCCTCTTTGACCCAGCAATATGGGAATCATTCTTAAGATAATGCCATAATACAATCAACAAAATATACCTTCTTGGTTCAACTTGAAAACTAAGAACCAAGGTTCAAAGTATTGACATGTACCAGCCCATATCGGTCGATACATATTGTATCGGGAGCACTCTGATACACTCCTATAGAGGATGTATCGGGGTTCTGATTGGTTCAGGGGGTGGAGGAGTCTTAAACCGGCCCCCCTGAATGGGTTTTGAAAAAAAATTTAAAAAAAGTAAAAAAATGACTAATACTACCCAATACGCCCTTACCAGCGTATTAGGCGTATCGATATTTAGAACCCTGCTAAGAACCCCAAACAAAACCAAAACTAGGTTATATACTAATTCCAAATATGTCATTTGAAAAGTCAAAACCAAATGCACTCTTTGTCAAAGTTATTACAAAAATCCCGAGACCATTCATTATAGTCTCAACATCCATGCACTTCCTTTCTTTAGATTTTACGAAGGGGCTGACGGTTTAAGAGAACAAGAATTTTTTTGAAATAGAATTCTTGAAATGGTAGATCTATATAGGAGATTCAATTGATAATACTACCTAACCAAATCCAAGCTAGTGGCCGTATTGATGAAGAACTGCGGCACGGTCAACAGATTTTCTAACATAGTTGTGTCATTTCTCCATACAAAGGTGCGTAAAACGCAAAACAATGTGCCCTCCTTCACACATCAAGTGTGTTTCTACTTGATGAGGGCGGATTGGGCCCTCTAGTGACATCATGACACATGCATCTCAAAACAGCTGGATGACACCCCGACACCACATAGGCGATGACTTGTCTTATCCCAAATGATAGAGCCCGACCGGGCGACCTGCCTTCGACACCGACCTGGCGAACTCGTCCACAATTCAAGGCGGCTTGTAGCACCCCATATAGGGACGACCTGTGGCACCTCGTCACCAACCGAAGTGACCTCGACATGAGGAGCAACCTCCTTCGAGGGTTTGCCGACCTGATTGAGGTCCAGATGGCGACCTACGAAACATGCTCACTGACCCATTCTACATGCACATCCTATCACTCGGGTTTCTCGAAAGTTGGCCCCCGCACCGAATGTTTCGAAGGAAACTAAACAAAGCGCGAAAACTGGTCTACGTGCATGGCTACCTCCGAGGACTTCGGACTAGTTAGGCATGACCTCTCAGAGATCTCAAACGCGATGCATAGAGCCCACGGCGAGCAATGCCTATATATAGGTCTCATTTCCAACTTCAAAGGGGGGAGAAGGTACGCGCGATTTAGTGCCTTCTAGCTCAAATATTCACTTACTTTCAGCTCGCAACCAACACAATACTAACTTAAGCATTAGAGTGACCACGCCGGGTTAACCACCCCGGGTTCTCTGAATACTTCTTGTAGTTCGACTGGCCAGCGAGGCGAGCTACCATCCATCTAGGAGTTACCAGATCGTGCACCATCAATTGGCGTCGTTTGTGGGAACGCAACAAAAAGCTAAGTTCTCACCTTCTAGTTTGTTAAGTTTTCACCTTTTAATTTCCATTTTTATCAACTCTGACATTTTTGAGCAGCAACAACATCAAGAACGAAGAGTCAATTACTGGGGGGCAAGAACATCTGTGATGAACCTTGAGAACCTCCCTGTGACAATCAGGCAAGTTCAGTGCCCATAGCACCTCCGTGCTGAACTCAGCACTCTCAATGCCCCAAATAAACACATCGCTACCTCGTGTGAACGCCCATCTTCCCGTGGTAGAGCCATCAGTGGTTCCCACTAGGATTGAAGCGCGAAAGTTTTATGAGCTGAAGCATGAATCTCCAGATGTGGGCATGGGAGAAGCTCAATGCATTCAATCGGCCGCAAAATAATCAGCAGTAGAATGACTTCAACAACCAGCTGTCTGGAAATAGGCACTTCAGAGTAAGGTCGCCCCCGTAGGTCGAGCCCTTCGTGGTTCCCGCGGGTGTTAACGGCCAACAGATTGAGCAACTCTAGCGACCTTGATTCATCCCGAATGAACCTCGTCAACTCTCTTCATGAGGTCTCCCCTACAGGTCGAGCCCTTTGCGGCTCCCGTGGGAGTCAGTGGCCTATGGACTGCACGATCGCCCTTGTGGGTCGAGCCTTTCAAAGCTCCTATGCAAGTCAGCGAGCTACAGTTAGTAGAGCTACCCCCGCAGGTCGAGCTCCTTGTAAACTCTCGTAGGAGTAGACGACCAGCATCTCCAAGGGCTGATGCAGTGTAGCCGTGGCATCAACCTACCGTCTAGCACAGAGTAACATGCATATCA